ATTTTATATTTTTCATCAAAATATTTTTCGTTTTTGATTTCCTTCTCAAAGGCATACCCCATATATAAGTCGTTAACTGCACAATCTTCCAAATCATCTTTCAAAATATCAATATTAGCATCGGGAGGAATTATAAGGTTTCCTAGCGGATTGATTGCCAATATCTTTAAGAAGTTTCGACGAATCGCCCTTCTCGCTTTGAAACAATTTGTTCAGAATTTGCATATTTTTTAAAATTGGCTTTAAAAATATAAAATAGAGTCTATTTTTGTCATCTTCAAATAGCATATTCAATACTTTTGCTTTGTGACAACTTTCATTTGTAGAGGCTAAGGCAAAGTGTAGGGGAGGGTGGCCCCCATGTTTCTCAGAGATGGCGATGCTAGCCGAATTGTCGGTAACTTCAGTGAAAAGCTGTTATAACACATACATTTTGGAGATAGATAGCCAATTTGACTTCTTTTGTTTCACTGCAATTTTTCCGTTTGTTTTGTTTCAACGCCTGTGTCATTCATTTTTGAGCTTTACTGAACTTGAGCTTAAATATTTTTAAAGTTTTTTTCTCCGCATAAAAGTCGGAGGGTAAGGTTTTCTGATAGTTGATAGTCCTAGCTGTCATTCACGCTATTAGAGTTACATCGCTCTTTGCGTTATTAGATAATGGCGAGCAGTTAATTAGAAAAGTTTGTGGTGGTCCGAAACCGACCGCGAAGTGATGGTCCGAAACCGACCCCCATTTATTGGCAGCTTAATATGTCATAGCGTATTTTTGAGGGAAAATATGAAAAAGTAAACAAGATTCAGTAAAGAAAAGTAACAGAAACAGCAAAAACATCAGAAGAAAGCGAAGAGACAGTTATCAACGAGCGGCTTTCGAAAAACAACGCGAAAACTTACTATAAGAAAGAGGACAACTCAGACTTCATCAAATGATTACAGTGCCCTTTATTTCATACATTAATTTTTATTTTCTGGAAAGAACCTTCAATATATTTCTTAATAAACGTCAAAATCATTAAATTCTATTTTATGTTATTAAATATTTCTGTTAAGAAATAGGGGGTCGGTTTCGGACCACTAGTTTTGAGTACGACCAAAAAGTGGAGTTTTATATTTGCCTGAATATCTAACGCTTCAAAGCACCTACGCACTTACTAATCAATTAGATGTATAGTAAACTGATCCCTCTACATAGTAAATTTTTGAACTGAACTGAAAAATTGATTTTTCTCACCTTTATCGCCTTTCCCATTTAGGGGGTCGGTATCGGGCCACCCTCCCCTAACTTTAATTTCTCCCACTGATCCTCGATTCGAGATACTGCACTTTCGATGGATAGCCATCTAGTGTCGCTGACTTTGACAATTTTTAAGGGTTTCTAAATAATACCTACAATCAAAATTAAAAAATAAATACACAAAAATACATAACAATAAAAAATCCAAACCTGTTAGTCTACTTACAAAAAATTGAAACGAGCATGAAAACTAAATGTTAATATCTATCCGAATTTGTACTACCAATCGCAGCTTTAATTGTTAATAACAAAAAAACGGTACAAAATTTTCAATTTCCGCCAACGGATTTCGAAATGTTAGAAAAAAACACATCATTTGCATATTTTACTTTATTTTTTAAGCTGTTTTTACCGTGGACCGCACTTGTGAACAATTACCCCTTCCGCAAATCGTCTTCGAAGTGAACTCCCACTACATCCTTTATTATGTGCGTGCACTTTGTCCGCTTCAACTTTATGTCGACAGTTGCATTGCACGCTTTAAACTGTTTGACACACAGTTGGGATAAATGGTCATTAGGTGCTATGTCCGAGTGTTCAGCAATGTACAAACAAAGTGCAACCTCCTGCTCCTCTGTTTTTGTGGGCTGTCTACCAAAATGTATTAAGTGATTTTGTGCCACGCTTGCAATGCATGCAATATGTTTTTTAGCTTGAGCATGCTGCCGTAACTCAAATAACTTGGCCTAAATCGATACTTTACAAAAGCAGCAGTACGCTTTTGTGGAGTCAGTTGGCACTTTGCGTAGCCACTGCTTAAACTCTTCGAAATTTAACCACGAATCGCGGAAATTTTGTTTGTAAGACACTTTCGGCATGTTTCTAAAACGACGCAACAACAATCGCAAAACAAACATGTGCAAAATTTCAGTGGGACCTAAACTTGCTAACGATTATTATTAAAATACCAACAACAAATATGACTTTTTTCCAAATTTTCGATAAAAATTACCAAAAATTATAATACAGTCGAAAAACAAAACATGTTTTGTTATAAATTTTTTTAAGCCGAAATTAGCTTAATGAAATTTGAAATAAGCCAGATTTTAAGCTATATGCAATTCAAGTATTTTTCAAGCTATTTCATTTTAAAATATGCTAAATCTAGCTTGAAAAAAGCTAAAATGGCAATAATGCTTAAGACTGGTAGACGCGCCCTATAACTTAACTCGCACCCTGGGGGTCTCAGCTTGGCAGTTTCAGCTTATGTCGACGTGACCGTCGCTGGGCTTCTTGACTCGGCGATCTTGATCCGGATATGTTGGCACTTGGTATTATCTTGCACGACTTTCACTTGACTATCCCTCCAGCGTGCGCGCATCCTCTTATTATACGCCAATTTCCGCAGTTTCCTTCCAGATCGGTGGCGTGATCGGGTCCAAAGTGCAATTGGTCCTGTTATTTTCCTCCTGATCCAGCGCGTTATCCGGTTCAAAGTTAAGAACGGTCCCGTTAATTCACGGTCTCTCTGCTTTGTGCGGGTCCGAAGTCCGCGACTTCACTGTTATAATGGGTCCAAAGTCCGCAACTTCACCGTTATAACAGGTACAAAGTCCGCAGCGGTACCGTTAGTTCACGGTCTCTCCTGTTTGCGCTGGTCCGAAGTCCGCAGACTCACCGTTATTAGGGTCCAAAGTCTGCAGGCTCACCGCTGCATCGAGACCAAAGTTCGCAGAGCCGTTAAACTCCTTTTTCTCTGCATGCAGCTCCTCCCGCTGTTACTATGCAGAGCTCCCTTGCACTTATAATTGTGAGGAGTTTTACAACTCCTTAATGTTTAAAAATTGAACCATGCCAGCTGCCATCATGGCTTAATTAGCATTAGCTCTCTTATGAAGAAGGGGAGTACGATGAGAAATCTTTGGAGATCTTTAGAATCAATTGTCGCCCCGATACCTTTTAATTCGATCGATCAAAATAAGGAGAGTCCTACTGCGATATAGAGCAGCTTCTTAAAGTTCATGATCAGCTATCGCCAAGGCGTTGGGACTAATTTTCTATCATTTTTTTGATATTCAATTTCCAAATATAGTCACATATCCAATTATAACTATTTGTATACCCTTAATTGTAACCTACATGTATAAGCTTAGCCTAAGAATAAAGATAAGAAAGAAAGACATTACAATTAAAGCTCGGATCTGGCAGTCGTGTACAGACCACACAAGCAACAGTTCGCTTTAAATAAAACATCTCTTTGAAACGATTTAAATGAGATTTCTGTTCGGTCATGCCGCAGCCTAAATCAAACCACTAATTTCAAATCGTAACGTAAAACCAATTTCTCGATGTTCTCCTTTTGTTTTGCTATTTCCCCTGCGCGGCAACACTGTTTTGATTGTCATTGCTAACTACCTTTGCACTTTTTCGCTTATCGCTTCCTGGCCTTGTCCATGGCAAGCTTCGTAGTCTGTTCGAATTTGTTCACGCTCATAGAAGGCACGGTCGCTGATCGCCTGCCTATATACTCTTCGGCTATATACTCTTCGCGTTTAACGAATTTATTATTTTCGTTTCGGTTTAAAGTTGGTGATCGTGCAAGTACATAACAGCAGAACATACGCAAGCTGAAAACTCCGCTAAACCCTCGCACACACCCGCACCCGCGCATTGTAAAGTGCATTTTCGTTTTCTTTTGTGCCGTCGTTCCCGCTTTAAACGTTTTACAGCGGCGACAAAACGTTTGTGCGCGGGTTCAATGCCTACATTGCATATGCAATAGACTTACACATAGATTCCGCTTCGTTTTCGCTGGCTTAGAATTTTGGCGCTAATCATTGCACAGTGAAACTTGTTTAGTGTGCAAGTGATCAATTCTCAAAGCAATTAAAATCAAATTTAAACAACATGTCAACTGACACAGCGCTTGCTGCTCCAGTTGCGGGAACAAAATGTTTCAAGTTGAAGGCTGAGTCAATGCTTTCTAAAACGAATGCCTTCGAGAAGGCCCTGACTGCCGACAAGCTCCAGGAAATGTGCGAGGAGGAATTGGAGCTTCGTGTTCAACGCCTGGACGAGATCAAGACTGCCTTTTTCCGGATCCACGATAGACTTGAGCAGCTGGACTTTAATGAAATTGGTAGTATGGTGCGCGATGACTTCGAGGAGCTTTTCTTCTCAACAAAAACAAAATTGAATATTGAATTGCGTATGCGAAAAGGGACCAAGCGTCATAGCCCTTTGCACTCTGGCTCTCAGCCTTCGTCCGAGGTTCAGCGAGCTCCCGTGGCGGAACTAACCTTTTTATCCGTTCGAACGATGCATCAATCTAAAACCATTTTGCGAGACTTCTACGTTGACGATTTGACCACAGGAGGGAAATCAGCACAGGAGGTCCTCGAAATCATGCCTCAAACCACCAACTTGCTGTCACGAAGTGGTTTCAAACTGCGGAAATGGTGTTCCAACGACCGTGATGTCCTTGATCAGATTGCTGACTCGTAAAGGGAAACATTCCTGAAGTTTGACGATGGCAGCGACTTTTCCAAGACACTGGGTCTTGCTTGGGACCCTGCAGCGGATGCGATTCGTTTCTCTTTGTCTCCCATACAGGTCTCTCCAAAGCCTTGTAAACGACTGGTGCTGTCCACAATTGCTCGGATTTACGATCCCCTTAGTCTCATTGGTCCTGTAGTTGCCAAGGCCAACATCTTCCTGCAACAAGTCTGGAGAGAAAGAGCTCTCAACAGGAGACCCATCTGACATGGGTCGTACCCATCAAATGGGGATTCTTCGACGTGCGTTGGATCCAGATGCTGATGGCGAACGAGAGGTGCATCTACTTTTTTCAAAGTCTCGTGTGGCACCTCTTACGGTTTCCAAATTGGAGTTCTGCACTGCCTTGATACTAGCCCAGCTGATGCGGGACGTACGCAACATGGATCTCTTCGATTGCCCGTTTTATTGCTGGTCGGATTCCGCTGTAGCTTTATCATGGATAAGCGATGAGCCTTCACGTTTCCAAGTATTTAGTGCTAATCGAATTTCTTTAATTCAAGAGCTATCCAGTGGCATGAATTGGCGCTATGTACCGATTGACTGCAATCCAGCCGACATCTTGTCAAGAGGTGCTTCCCCGACTGAGCTTCTGGAATTTGCCCTTTGGTTCAGAGGCCCAGCGTTTCTTCTCAAGATTCAGCACGATTGGCCTAAATCTTGTTTGCCTGTAAAGACTCTGCCCGAGCTCAGAAAGCGCATTTTGGTTGGCGTCTCTACCGAAGTGGATCTGACTTTAAAATGGAAGTTTTTGAATTCCTGGCAAAAGATGACCCACACATTTGGATATGTATACAAATTTGCACACCGTATAAGACGTCCTGGTCTTGCCGTCGAAGATGTCAAAATGGGCACTCAGATGCTCATCAGATGTATCCAAATGAGCAACCTGGCTGATGACTACTGGAGATTGCATTCTAAGTAGCAAATTTCATCATCCAGCCCGTTGTCCTCTCTTTTGCCATTCATCTATAGCTTCGGTCTGATGCGAGTTGGTGGCCGTCTACAGAATTCGTCCTTGGATAACAATGTGCAGCATCCTGTCATACTGCCACGCCAGCATCCAGTTACACGTGCCATTATACTGGACTTGCATCGGAGGAACTTGCATTCTGGTCCACGAGCTCTGCTCGCTCACATGCGCCTTCAGTTTTGGCCGATAGGTGGCCGGAAAACAGTGTCAGCTGCAGCGTCCAAATGCGTCATATGCTTTCGTGCCAAGCCACAGCTTTCTCAGCACATAATGGCAGACTTGCCCAAGGATCGCGTAAAAGCCACGTCTACGTTCATGGTTACTGGTCTGGACTTCTGCGGTCCATTTTATTACAAAACCTGAGTTCGAAGCAAGGTGCCTGTGAAAACGTACGTCTGCGTTTTCATCTGTTTCGCGACGAAAGCGATCCATCTGGAGCTTGTCCAGGATCTTTCGATACAAGCATTTTTGGGAGCACTGAAGCGGATTATTCTCACTAGAGGAAAACCTGTCCGAATATGGTCGGATAATGCCACGATTTTCGTTGGATCCAAGAACGAGCTAGCTGAGCTGAAGAATCTGTTCTTATCAAGCCCCCACATTCGAGCGATTGAAGAATTCTGCCTGAAAGATTCGATTGAGTGGCGTTTTATTCCCCCTCGTTCACCTCACTTTGGAGGTCTCTGGGAGGCTGCAGTAAAAACGGCCAAGTTTCATTTCTACCGTTCTGTTGGCCCTTCGTTATTATCGTTCGATGAATTGCGCACTCTCATTTGCCACATTGCGGCGATTGAAAACTCACGGCCTTTACTCCCTCTTTCAGAGTATCCGGCAGATCTTGAGGCGCTAACTCCTGCACACTTTCTTGGCACAGTTCCACTGGTGGTGTACTTTGAGCCTGACGTCACAAAGCTGAACTTCAACCGTATGGACCGCTGGCAGAGAATTCCCTACTTCCAACAAATCTTCTGGTCACGGTGGCGTGAAGAGTACTTGACCCTGTTACAGCAACGGCCAAACCTGCGCTGCAAATCAACGATGTCGTCTTGGCCCAGAATGAGATTTTGCCTCCACTTAAATTGCCATTACCCAGGGTCATGGAATTGGTGCCTGGATCCGATGGAGTTGACCGTGTGGCAGTGATACGAACTCAAGCAGAAGTCACTCGCAGAGCCGTCTGCAAGTTGTGCGTGCTGCCGAAGCTGGATCTGGTTGAAAGCCCTGGTCTTCCAACGGGGGAGTATGTTCTGTCATGCCGCAGCCTAAATCAAACCACTAATTTTAAATCGTAACGTAAAACCAAATTCTCGATGTTCTCCTTTTGTTTTGCTATTTCCCCTGCGCGGCAACACTGTTTTGATTGTCATTGCTAACTACCTTTGCACCTTTTCGCTTATCGCTTCCTGGCCTTCTCCATGGCAAGCTTCGTAGTCTGTTCGAATTTGTACACGCTCATAGAAGGCACGGTCGCTGATCGCCTACCTATATACTCTTCGGCTATATACTCTTCGCGTCGTTTAAGGCACAGACAAATCGGTCTGCCTGCCCAACATACCTTTACAGTTATTCGATTTTGTACTCGCTTACATGAAGGCACGAACGCTGATCGCTTGCTAAAATCTCTCGCGTCTATATACTTTCGCTAAAGGCACAGACAAATCGGTCTGCCTGCTACAATTTCTTTTCGCTGAAAAAAAGGGACAGACAATTCGGTCTGCCTGCCTAATTCAGACCAACAACAAACAATAACTTTGTGAATTTAAGGCCTTGGTGCCAATTAATAAATAAGTGCAATTTTAAGCTAAAATTCGTGCGTTTTTTTTTTACTTGGGCAAAGGTAACGGTTAGTAAAAAAGCTTACTGACCCAACAATTTCATTATCGGAACTTTGCGGAACCTAACTAGCAATTAAAATTGTAACAACGACTCGATCGAAACCGGCAATTAGAATTGGCTAAGAACGCCTTATTACCCAAATGGATACCCTCGAGAAAGTCAACTGACGGTGTCGCGTATGAATGGGCCAAGCCGCGATCTAACTGGCGACGAGGATTTAAAAACCACCGATTTTGGAATTTAAATTTTCCAAATTACCACGTGTATTTGAGTGCACACGATATTGCGTAATGGTCTGAGACAAGCGGCTCGAAAACATTACACCAAGCTTCACATACGTCATCCTTATCAGCAAAAGACAAAGCTCTGTTTTTGCGCTCAACTTATCCAACGATTTTCGCTACGACGAGCTCTAGCAATTACCATCGTTGTCGACGTCATCATTTCGCCTATTCATCATTATCATCTATTTCGCATTATTTTGGACTTCGGAGGAGACGGCGCTGGTCAAAAAATATTCTGAGAGGAAAAGCTTCCGCCTAGGAATACTGAAGTCGTAAAATCTATCATTGTGTATTACTTTCTTTTCACGATCCAAAAGTCTTTGTTTATCTTAAGTTCTAATTTTACTTTACATTTAAGTTAAGAAAAACTAGGCCTAAAAATGAATTCCGAAGTAACTGCATCATTTACTCTTTATTTAAATTTGTATAAAAAATATCCAAGATTTTAATGGCTCAGATAAAAACCAGCTTCCCGGCTTTATAAATCAAATCAACGTATTTGTGGCAACCCTTATCAGCTTACGATATCACAAAAATTCGATAGCCCACGAAAGTATCGAAATCGCTGGTTGTCATCTCCAGCATTCACACTCTTTCGCTTGACTTCTACGACAGCTTCATCCGCCGCCACTACTACATCTTTGTCGCGCTTTCACATCTTAGTTTTAAGCAAATGTATATAGTGTTATGTGAATAAAAGAACATTAAATTGGTGACCCCGACGTGATCATTATATACACGCGAGCACCGGTGCTTACAATGGCAAGCAACGACACCACACAAGACGACGCCGACGTCTTTTACGATACCGTTACTCGCAATTTCGGCGCAGTTATTAACCGCGTAGCTGTTAAAATTCCGCCGTTTTGGCCCGAGCACCCAGAATTATGGCTGACGCAAATCGAAGCCCAATTCGTTCTGGCAGGAATAACTACAGACGACACGAAATTCAATACGATCCTGGCGTCAATCGAAGCACCGGTACTGGCCCGAATTGCCGACGCCATCACCAACCAACCAGGCACAGGCAAGTACGAAAACTTAAAGTCGTGCATTTTGGAACGCTTCGGCGAAAGCGAGCAGAGAAAAATCCAGAAGTTGATTTCGGAGACTGACCTTGGTGACAAGCGCCCCACACAACTGCTCAACGAGTTAAACGCACTCGCCGCAAACAAAGTTGACGAAACTTTCTTAAAAGCACTGTGGCTGCAGCGCCTACCAACACAAGTGCAAGCGATCTTGCAAGCATCGGACGCCTGCCTTGCAGACCTAGCTAAGTTGGCATACAAAGTGATGGAAGTCGGCGATTTTCGTCATATTCGCACCGTCGACACCAAATCGGCGCCAACCAGCAACACCGTTTTCGACGAACGTCTGGACCGCATCGAGCAACAGATCAACGCGCTGTTCAAGAACCGTCACCGCAAGAATAGTTCGCCCACATTAACGGTTCGCAACAGCGTCACGACTCCAGGCTTGTGTTGGTACCACAGCAAATTTGGCAACGCCGCCAAAAAATGTCGCCAACCATGCTCGTTTTCATCCGAACCAAAAAACTAAAGCAGTCTTCGGATTCGGCGGACAAATTCGAAGAAGATCACAACACAATTGCCCGCCTCGCCATCAACGACAATTTCTCGAAAACTCAATTTATCATCGACACCGGCGCCGACATTTCAGTGATGCCACCCTGCAAAAACGCAAAAACTATGCTCACTCCAAAGCTTCTTTTCGCCGCTAATGGGATGAAAATACAAACCTATGGAAAAAAACGCATAACATTGTCACTGGGATTGAGACGAAACTTTGTTTGGACCTTCGTGATAGCTGACGTCAACTGTGCTATCATCGGAGCCGATTTCCTTCAACATTTCGACTTACTGGTCGATATGAAACGACGCAAACTCATCGATCGAGCTACGCTGCTCGAATCAACATGTAACGCGCCTCAACATAAAATCAACGCGATTTTATCCTACGACACGAGCAACCAATACGCTAAGTTGCTTCACGAATACCGCGATCTCGCAACGATCAACTGAACCGGCTGCCAGCAACGTCCGAAGTAACGCACTTCATCTCGACAAACGGCCCGCCCACTCACGCCCGCGTCCGACGACTAGCGCCCGACAAGCTCAAAGCTGCACAAACTGAGTTTTCCAACCTCATCGAAAAAGGAATATGCCGCCCCTCAAAAAGCAACTGGTCCAGTCCATTACACCTGGTAAAGAAGGCAACGAACAAATTGGTCAGCAAACACTACGTTTGGCCCCGCATGGCGAACGATGTCGCTAAAATCGTACGCGCTTGCATCCCGTGTCAAAAAGCCAAAAACCAACGACACACCAAATCGCCACTGGGAGAGTATGCCGCCAGCGACGCCCGTTTCGAACACATCAACATCGACATCGTTGGCCCACTGCCATCTTCGAACGGATACCGATACTGCTTGACGTGCATCGATCGCTTCTCAAGATGGCCCGCAGCGATTCCCTTAGTCGACATCACAGCACAATCTGTGGCCAACGCACTGATTTCGGGCTGGTTCGCTCAGTATGGAATCCCTCTCCACATCACAACGGATTTAGGCCGACAATTCGAGTCAACATAGTTTCAAGAACTCGCCAAAATTTGCGGTTTTAAGCACCTGCGCACGACGGCGTACCACCCACAAGCCAACGGGATGATCGAACGCTGGCACAGAATATTAAAAGCTGCCTTAATATGCGCCGATCCTATCAACTGGAGCAGTTCCCTGCACTTAATCCTCCTAGGCCTACGCACAACAGTCAAAAGCGACATCGGGCTGAGCCTAGCTGAAATGGTTTATGGCACCGCTCTACGGGTCCCTGGCGGATTTTTTACACCGAACACACAAAAACACACCGAGTCTGAGTTCGCCGAGGCTCTTCAAAAAACCATATCTGAGCTACCAACCACTAAGCCAGTGCACCATCATACACCGCAAGAATTTGTGCAACCGGGCTTAAACCATTGTCTTCGTCAGAGTGGATCGAGTCAAAACCCCCCTGGAAGCGAGCTACGAGGGTCCGTTCGAAGTAGTAGCAAAGCACGACAAGTACTTTACGCTTAAAGGACACACAAAGGACAACAAGATTTCCATCGTTTTTTTTTTCCTTGAGATATATGCATAATTACCACGTACAGTGGCTCGAAGCTTATTTCGTACAAGAACAAAATAAAATTTCAAATCGACATTGCTGCCAAACTAGAAAAGATATC